AGTCTTAAAATATATGAAAAATATTTACTTGTTACTTTTCTTCATCTTATTTTTAATGTGCTTTGTTTTTGTTTTTTTTATCCAGGGGAGAGCAGGAACACAGTCCCCTACTACCACAAATTATACAGTTGAATTTCCCACATTTGGGGAAACCTCAGGGGTCAGCACATCCAGAGTACAATGGATAAGCCTCACCCTGGGAAAGCCACCTTCATGATCATGGTATTTCCCCTGCCAGGTAAGTATTAATGTGCTTTGTTTTAATTTCAGTCATAGTTCCCTGTGGATGACAAATAAATGTACCTGTTATGATAATGAAATACGTAGTTTTATGTTTCCAGACTTTCAGTTACCTTATAAATATATTTTGAAAGAAAGATATGAAATAAAATCAACCTCAAATAAGCAAAACATTACACTAAAAGAACATCCTACTCAGTAATGTGCTGGTAAATGTTTATTCACAAGGTTCTCCAAAAAAAAAATTATCTGATTTATGGGATTTCCTAATTTCTATGGTGCAAATAACAATTCTTGAGAAATAATTTAGTCTGTGAGTAAGAAAATCATGGCCTCTGGAGCCAAAATCCCTGGGTTCAAATCCTGGCTCCACCACATGCCAGGTGTGAAATCCTGGGCAATTATGTATCGTCTCTATTCTTCAGTTTCTCAACCTAAAAATGGGGTAATAATCATACCTACCTCTAGCGCATTGTGAGAATTACAGAGTTAATAAGTATAAAGTACTGGTACATAGTAACAGTTCAATAAATATGAGTTACGAATTTTAATTATTTCTTTTTTCCAAGACTCTGCCTCACTTGTCACTTTATTTTGCTACAATCACAGGCTATTTCTTGTTTATTAAATTTTAATGTCAGTCTATAATGAAAACTCAACAATCCTAAATTGGTAATAAATACATCAATGGTGCAATGAAGGAATGAAAAAATGACAATGATGCTATATATTTATAAATAAAAACAGTATTATTAAAAGTTGTAGATAATACCATGAATATTTTTTTTGCTGGCACTACGGATATTATCAGAATTAGTAAAAGAAGGAAATCATAAAATTAAGGAAAAACAAGGGGAAAGTAAATGAATACAAATATGGTCCTTCCTTCCAAAATCATTCTTTGGACTTAATCTAATATCCCACAAAATTTCTGAGAAAGAAAGGTTAGTTCAGATAAGAAAATAATTTTCACTTTGATTAGAAGCAAAATCTTGGATAATTATATTTGGCAAAGAGCCAAGAAATGAATTACAGTATGTGACTTAAAGTGAAAAATACTGGAATGACGTAACTTTTTACACTGCCAGTCTAATTTTCATACTTGAATGCCTCAGTCTCATTAGAAATAAGATACCAGGTATTCCACGTTCCCATAATTTTCCTTATAGAATTTTGTGGCTCACCTATATCCTTTCCCATTGCTCTGGCCAGCTCCTCAACAGTCATTCCAATCCATACCTCCACCTCCTTTTTAGATTTTGTTGGAGCTAACTGAGATTTCCGTGGCCTTTGTTCCTATTAAAATTCAGAACACGAGAAGTAAAAAAAAGCTTTTAAGTGACAATTTATATTTATTCTGGAATATCTACCACCATCACAGCATCTATTTCTACCAATTAACACTCCCATAAGCACGTAAATCTCAGACTAAAATAAAAAATCCTGCATCCTTGCCTGGCCGGAGTGGCTCTGTGGTTGAGCATCAACCTATGATCCAGGAGATTGAAGTTTGATTCCTGGTCAGGGCACATGCCTGGGTTGCAGGCTCAATCCCTAGTAGGGGGCGTGCAAGAGGCAGCCAATCAATGACTCTCATCATTGATGTCTCTCTCTCTCTCTCTCTCTCTCTCTCTCTTTCTCCCTTCTTCTCTCTGAAATCAATAAAGACATTATAAAAATAAATCCTGCATCCTTAATTCACTGCTATACACCAATTTCCAAGTAATCAAATTCATCAGCATTTTTAAACAACTAACTAGAATTTCCCTTCTTCACAAAGATTTATTGCCTGGAGCATAGTGTTATGGAATAAAGATTCTGTAAATGATAAAATACTCAAAATGGACTTCGGCTCATGGCTCTAGGCACTTTCATTTCAGACCAAATAATACAGTAATGCTAGAAATCTATAACTACCTTCTTTAAAAAAATCTTTATTGTTGAAAATATTATAGATATCCCCCTTTTTCCCCCCACTGATCCCCTCCACCCTGCACCTGCCCCCTATAGCTACCTTCTTTGTTACTGGAAGCCTATATTGAGATAAAGCAGACCCAAAGAAGGTATCTGTTTGCCAGGGCCTGGTGTACTGCTGAGCTGTCCACACTGGGTAAGCAGATGAAAACACATGCCTCCATTGTGCTAATGTTCTTCTTTGACCTAGGCTGTGCAGCTGTCTACAAACAGTGTGAAATCGAAGCAAGTTGTCCAACTTCAGCATCTTCTGGTTCATGTTTCTCCTAAAAAAAAAGGTTTAAAATAATATTTTGGTTGATATTTAAATCAAGTTAGCTGATATTAATTGGATATCTACTACAGGCAAAGGAAGTACTAGAGTTACAATGAATAAAACTGGGTTCCTGTCCCTGAAATAGCTCACAGTCTAGTCAGAGTTGGGAGTCCATACTAACTACTCTCTAAACATTAAGTATTATTATTAAGGTTCCTACTATGATAGAACTGAAATACAATAACAAACTTTAAAAGGGCTCTTTTTTCACTCTTGAAAAAGATCAACTAAACATATTAAAAGTAGAGGGATTTTCTAAAATGCAAATCTGAACTCATCAGCTCTCTGCTAAACACCCACCAACGGCCCCCTCATTGATTACCAGTTTAATGTACAACTTAAAAACATGCTATATAAGAATTCATTATGTGCCCCTCTGCTAACCTCACTTCATCTCTTACACTCTTACAATCCTCTCATTCCTACCTCCCAGCCTTTTGTTACTCTTACCCACCTGTAATCTCTAACAGTTTGTCATGTTCTTTTATTTATTGACTTTAGAGAGAGGGAGAGAGAGAAAACAAACAAACAAAACAAACAAAAATCTATTTGTTGTTCCACTTATTTATGCATTCATTGGTTGCTTCTTGTATGTGCCCTGACCTTATATTGAACCCACAACCTTGACGTATTGGAACAATGCTCTAACCAACTGAACTACCCAGCCAGGGCCTGTCATCTCATTTTGAATCTTTGCATAAACTCCTTCTAATTGGAATTGTCTTTCAACACTCACCATTTTTCCTTCTCCCCCCTCCTCCCAAAGATGCTATAGAGAGTGAAGAAGGCACCCAATAAGTATCTATTAAACAATGCCTTTTGAATATCATTCTTGGAATGAAAGAAGTTTATTGAGAGAATAGTGCAACAGAACTCAACTTAGTAACACAGTTCTTTTCTTCCTGAGTCTTCTATTTCTTCTGCTTCCAAGAATGCACTTCTAAATCTGTGCTTTTCAGTTTTTAAGGGGAGGAGCAACTAAAATAATGTACGAATTACGTTTCCTCCTTAGCAAACATTTCCTGAGCACCAGCTTCTATGTAGTGTGTTCTAGGTTGTTGATTCAAAGTTTAATAAGCCAGAGTCTCTCCCTTCAGAGTTCACTGTCTTTAAAGGGTTCCAATATAATGATTCTCAGGCACCCAAGAATGGCCCATTTAAAACATCTTATTTAGGGCCCAGCCAGGCGTGGCTAAGCGGTTGAGCATGGACTTAGGATCCAGGAGATAGAAGTTCGATTCCTGGTCAAGGCACATGCCCGGTTGCGGGCTCGAACCCCAGCTGGGGGTGTCCAATGACGACTTTCTCATCATTGATGTTTCTATCTCTCTCTCTCGCTCTCCCTTTCTCTCTCTGAAATCAATAAATATATATTTAAAAAATAATAATAAAAATAAAAAATCTTATTTAGGTACAAGTCCCTGGACCAAGAACTAAAGAGTGCTTAGAAAGCATGGGACTCTTTGGGGGAAAAAAATAATTTTAATGAGTCTAAAACCAGACTTGGCAAAGACCCACATTAACGGAGTAGAAGGAAGATTAACCAAATCTCCTACATGGAGATTAACCAAAGCACAGATATGTAATTAAGGCTGGAATTAGAAAACCGCATTGGGGGCAATAGTTCAAATATCAAAACTGGAAGGAACCTTACTTGCTACCTAATTCCAAGCCTCTCATTTTACAATAAAGGAAAACGGAGCCCAGAGAGCTCAAACAAACAAACAACAAACAAACGTCTCCAATGTCATACCGCTAGTTAATGGCAGCGAGCACTAGAACTCAGGCTTTCTGACAGCCAATTCGGTGTTCTTTCGCCGCTAGGAAATGCATGGAATCGGGAAAGGATGTTGTTAATATGTAGTTGCACTGGTGGACACGTCTGAATGTAACCGTTGGAAGCCTTGGAACTTATCTGAAAGGTAAAAAGAAGTCACTGTAGAAAAAGTACGGATCTGGCTGGGGTGGTTTCGCCTCGAACCCGAGCGCAGAAAGCTCTGGGCACAGGGAGGCCGGGGCCGGGGGCCGCACTCGCCGCGGCGCCCCTGGCCGCATACCGCCTTGGTAAGCCTGAAAGTAGGGTCATGCAGGGAATAAATGCGTCGTGGAAAAGCGATGTTCATGATCCGTGCCACTGACACTGTAGGACAAACACTATACGCCACCCGGGGCGCCCGGCTGAGGGACCCCACTCACTTGGCTCCTGCATAAGGCCGGAGGGTCTGGATTCTGAGCCTGGGCAGAGATCACCTTCCGGACCCGGGAGACCTGACTGCCCGCCAGTCCGTCACCCAAACGGTCCCCGCCGCGCTTCCGGTGCCGCCGGAAGTGGTTCTTCCCCGAATTCAGAGGTCCGAATTCGCAACCGTCTCTATTGCGGCCGGGAGCCGGGCTGCGAGCCCGGCGGGCGCCCAGCGTGGGAGGTGCCAGTCCAACCAGCCGCCTCTTCCCGGGGTGGGTAATGCCTTCTGCCAGTCCCTTCCTTTCCCAGAGGTATATGCCCGCTCTTCCGGGGGGGTGAGCGCCTCCGTGCCTACCCTCCAGGGAAAGTTAACCCGGGAACTCTGGGAGAAATGGTAAGGTTCTTACAAGGCTCATACCAAGAATGAAAAAATACCGGAGGACGTGGCCCTGACTGACTAGTCAGGTGTTGCATGTTTTAAATTTTCTTGCAGCACACCGGTTGAAAATCGCTGCGTTAGGGTGATGGAGGTGGTGAGAAAGGAAAGGATTTGAGAAACAACTATGATGGTTTAGCTATGGGGTGGCTGGGTGGTGGCGGGGAGTGGAGGTGGGGCT